GGGCATTTCTACACAAGATACTGCGTGGTAGCCTAATAACACTGCGCAATAGCATGCTGGTCAAAACCTATGCTAATAAGCTACAGTGCAGTGTTATGAGGCTACTGTGCAGTTACCATCACGAAAAAGCCGTGCACATTTAGTTAGTACTTCATTAAGCAAGTACTAAACTAAATGCGGAGTAACTACTGCACATTAATGAATGTGTAGACATGCCCACAGCAAATAACTTTCATGTTTACAGATGCCTAAGGATTTTGCTATAAGCCTTCCATAAAAATACTGTATTGATTGGATATTATTTTGAACCATCCTCATTGTTAAAGATAAATACAGTGGAGCAGCTGGGTGCTCATCTTGTCTAACTGGCTCTTGAGGCTGTACTTTTGTCTCCATTCCTTTCACAACATGCCAGCTGCTCTCAACATTTTGCATGCTGTTAAAATGAGCTTTTTATGTTGATGAAAAATATTGCACAAAATAGAAGGACTCGTTGTCTTTTTCTGTGCCAATTATCCTACCTCTTGTGATAAAACCTTACTTTCCAAATCCATTGTGTGTTTCAACAAACGTTTCTCAGACATGACATTCTGACTCTCTCACCTTTTCTACTATTAATACCCCTTCATTTTTCAACAATCAGTATAACCATATGAAATCTCCTGAAACAGGCACAATAACCGATTATATTGTTCTGGTATCGGTACCTAGTTAGCTTCCCCAACATAAGCCAAAACCATAATTTGTAAGCCATCTTAAAATAATTTGATTTTCCTGTGAATTCTGGGAGAGAGAATGCTACAGAGTTGTCTTAACTCTTGCATTTCAGGCTAAAAGAGCATCTTAAAACCCAAACAGGTCTTTTACATGAATATTTTATGATAGAATGCTAGTCTGAATGTGTACCCAAATGCACATTTTGGGAGGGATGTTTCAAATTTCCTTCCCATTCTATAACTACCTGCTAACAGTGTCACTGTAGGGGATCCAGTCACCTTTAACACAAAAGCATGCAAGCAAAGCTGTTTCAGAGAAATGTTCCTTTCAGATCAAGACTTGTGTTTTTTCTGGTTAGTGCAATGGGTGTGAATTACTAAAAACTATACTATTTATAAAGCTATTACTTTACAGAAAAAAACATTAAGGTGCTGTAATAAGTGGGCTATCTCAGGGCTGGTCTAGACATTGGCTCAGCCACTTGTCTAGGGCAGTCTGCCCACCTGCCTTTCCTGCCATACCTTTGATGTAGCTGAAGATATTCCTAGGTAGGAGGCTGCCCATTTAATTGCCTTGATGCCAAGGGCAAATACATGGCTCCAAACCTCCCCTAATACCATCTCCCATGCCTTGCAGATGGCATCCATATCCATCATTACTCTCCAGCCCCTTAGCTGGGCCATCACACTCCTTCCCCGCACTGAGGCTCCTATCTTCCCATGCCCCCACATTGGGGCTTCTGGGTCTAATGCTGCTTGGGCCTCATGCCTCACTTAGTGGGCCTGGGCCCAGTCTCAGGCCCCCTTCAAATCAGCCTGGACCCTGCCTCAGGCCCCTTTCAGCAGGCCTTGGCCCTGTGTTTTTCTTTCAGTGTGTGCCCCCCTAGCCTTTCCCCTCCACTGAGTTATCTGCAAGGCAGTAGGGGATGAGGCTTTCTGGTGCCCCATACTTGCCCATCACTGAGGAGGCACAGGTGTGGCATTTTCCAGAGAATGCCCTGCCACAGGCAGCCCCACCACCCCATCCTCCCCAGCAGGTATAGTTTTAGGTCATACTCCAGGACCATGAACCTCCTCTATCTCCGTAGTTCCTACCCTGAACCTCCAAGCTGTTCTGCCAGCAGCAGCTCCAACCACACAACATTCTTCCTCTGGCTCCTTGAAGCAACTACCTGCTCTAGTGCTCAGGGCCTGCTCTTATTCTCTAGTAGCTAGGCCTTCCTTCCAATCAGGCAGCCTCCTGCTGGCCATGTGACTCCTGATTGACAGTGCAGTCACCTGTAAGCTGCTCTGCTGCCTGCTCAGGCTCCTTAAAGTAGCAGGCACAACCTGTGCTCTGCCACAGATGCTTGTTCCAGAACATCTAAGGAATTAGGCATCCTCCATCCCCTATCAATGTGTCTTTTGGCAGTAGGGAGCATAGTCATTCTCCAGTTTAACTGTAAATGACTTGTGTCTCCCATTGGAAAACTATTCCATATGGTTTAAGAGCTCACTGTCAAGATATTTTTTCTGATGAATTAGATTTCCTCCATTTTATTTTAATTGCCTTTGTTCCTCAGGTCCTTCCTTGTTGACATTTATACTACTCAAAGGCTTCATCTACGTGAGACACTGACTATGTGGTCATTTAGCACTAGTATAAACAAGTACTAAATGACTGCATAGTAACTTGAGTTACTGTGCAGTAGTGCCAACAAACAGCTTTTTTGTGATGCTGACTGCAGCAGCCCAAGACTGCTGTGCACTAGCATTGTATCATGCTTTCTGCCACAATGATCTTGGGTTACTGCGCAGCTAGCATCTCATGTAAACAAGGCCAAAGAGTAGTAGATCTTCTTTGAAGAGGAGTAGAATGGTCCTTTAAATAATTCCTTAAATCAATCCGTCCAGCTCTTGAGCCCTTTCCTTTTTGGTTTGACAACCATTTGATGACACTTCTCTCCAGAGTCTGAATTCCTTTCTGCAGTTCCATCCGTTTGCTAGGAATCCCTCTGTAATGAGCTCCAGGGATAGTTGCAGACAGGACCAATGGAGTCATACTGTCCAGACTCAAGATACACTGGGACCTTAGTGTGACATGGGGCTCATCCAAGGGGTAGCTCGGTTTGGTTTGTATGTTTATAATTGCAATTGGGCAGTTCTTCCAAACAGTTCAGGAGAAAATCTACAAGGAGATTCTCAGGGAGTTTTCCTTTATCCCCTGCTTGCATATGAAAAGGTGATAAGACCATAAGTGTTTGTACAGGCCCAGAATGAAGGGACTGTAATCCTTGTTTGAGATCTCTTAATACTGTTTAGCCTTCTGGCCCCATGAGCCAGGTGCAGGGCTGGTCTGTGGACCAGATCCTGTACACAGGATGTGTCAGTATGGGGCACTGGCCCCACCATATGCTGGCCTGATCTAGTGCTCAGGGTCACGTCATCCAACTTGCAGGGATCCCTACAGGTCCAGAAATTTGGCTGTTGAGGAACAATGATTAATGCTACCACTGCTACCCCACCACCAAATTTCCAGACCTGTGGGGAGACCCACTGGGCCAGAGGATGAATACCACTGTCTTAGCCCTACTCTAAAATGAATGTGCCCTTTGTATTACGTCTCTTTCATCACAGGTCTTTGCATCACATGTCAATTCAGTGTTTTTTTGTATAACGCAATATTGACTCTCTTTTAAATGATTAATAAAGCTGAACTTGCCACAAATCACTCATGCTCCCAATGGTACATGTACCACTGGCTAAAGAACTCCTTTACTCAAATGTAGGATATCTTTTTTCTTGTTTTTTAGGGTAGATTGACCCACCGTGCACCCCTGGACAAATTCTCTTTCAAGTGCCGGATCTGTTTGACATCCAGTATATGTGACTGTAAGAATCTATGTCTTTTTCTGCTTTACAGAAAGGCATAATGTAGCTTTTTTTTCCCACACTTATTTATCTTTAGTCCAGACCCTTGAACACCTAACTTTTTATAGAGTATGCAGTAGCTAGGCCAGGCCAGGCCTTCCCATTCTGGAGCTTCTCTCTTGGGGTTCATTCATCCAGGGCACGGTGCACCACTATTTAATTCACTACTTAAAATTTAAAAAAATAACCAACCCTGTTTCATGTTGAGTCTCCCTCTGTCAAGAACTTCTGCCTTACAAAGAAGTTGTGCAGCAAAATGTTTGGTTAACTTGCTGCTTGTACCTTGCCTTGGTGCTGCTGCTTTCCGGATGAAACTACTGGAGATTCCTGCATGAAAACAGACTGAAAAAGTGCTATCCACTTCCAGATGTGTATATCTCAACCAAGATTTTCTTATTTTGACCACAGAAAGTTCCAGGAAGCTCTGCAAAATCACAACGTCTGCACTAAAAGTGACTGTTGCTGCTAAATTGAGGAAATGGAAAACTGTTATCTTCTAAAGCAGCGGCTCCCAGCCCCAGGTCACGACCCAAATGAGGGTTGCAGGGGCAATGCTGGTGGTGCTGAACACAAAAGATGACCTGCCTCTGCCCCAGAGCTGCCGCCGCCGCCACCCCACTCTGCTCCCAGCAGTGGGTGGCGGAAAAACAAAGTTGGGAACCACTGCTCTAAACCCTCAAAAAGAGTGATCAGGGACTGAAAAGGCAGGGGCTGCTGCTCCTTTGGAGGACACACTTTATTTTGAGAGCCATTTAAAAGAGCACTGGGCGCAGCTACATGTTCGCTTAGATACTGTGCGTAATAAAGGACTAACTAAATGCACAGTACCAACTTTTCCTGCAAATAGTGCCAGCTCAGTTATTTAATGACACTGCACGTTAGCCTAATAACACTGCCCGGTAGGCTCTTAGCTCGGTGTTGCCGCGCCCCGCTACTGCGCAGGGTTATTTATACTAATGCGCAGCAAGCGTCTCGTGTAGACGCGCCCACCGAGCGCAGCGCGGGTGTGGACTCGGCTGGCGGGGGCTGTGGGGGCCCCCCCCATCTTCTCACCTAGGGGGG